CCAGCTTCTTCACAGTCGACGACCTGTGGTACCCCAAAACAGCCCCTGGCACCCTATGGGGTCACAAGCCAGGCCTGGGGGTCTCCATCCCAGGGAAGCCCACCCAGGGGCCCCCAGCCCACCTGGGGCAGTTGTGCCCCATGCCTGGGGGTCCCCAGCCCATCCCAGGGTGCTTCTGGGGGGTCTCTGGGGTTCCCAGGGTGCCCTTCGGATGCTGGGGGCTGTGGTTGCCCTGTGGGTCTGAGGGTGACACGGGGAGCCTGGCGTGTCTCTGAGGGTGTCTGGGGCTGCCACAGGGGCCCTGAGGGTGACCCGTGACTATGTCTCAGCCATGTCCCGCGATGGGGAAGTGCCACCAGCGTATCCTGCTGAATCCTGCCAGGTCCTGCCTGTGGGCAGGGAGGGACGCCGTGGGGGAGGAAAGGAACACCCTAAGGACACTGGGAGTTGTCACTGTGACCTTGTCACCATTCCCCCAGCTCCTCCCCAGCCTCCTCAGCCTCAGCAGAACCTGGGGGGAAGGTTATTTATTGTCCTCCCCCCTGTGCCCAAATGTCATTTGTGTCCCCTGTGTGTCTCCCTGACAGTGTCCCCAACATGTGCTGACACCACTAACTGTCTGCTCTGCTCTGTGGGGTGCTGTGAGGGGTGGGGACGGGGGGAAGTGGCACAGGGACATGCAGTGGGGCCCAGGGACAGAGCCGTGGAGGGCTCAGGGCACAGGAGCACCCTGAGACCCCCCCATAACCCCCAGCCTCGGGGGGACAGCAGGGGTGAGCTCCCCACGCCCCACAGGGCCTGACGGCATTGGTCTGAGGGCCTGGGAGCCCCGTCCAGCCAGCCTGCCCCCATGTTTCTGCTCCCACCTCCTGAGCAGCCCCTGCTGTGCCCTGCAGACAGGGGTGACACCTGGAGGGCACTGAGGGGGAACCCACATCTCTGGGGCCCTGGGCAGTGGCCATGCTGGGGACATGCACTGGGGAATGGGCAGGGGTGGGCACGGACACAGTTGTCACAGATGTCCCACACACACACAGGTGCCACACACAGTGTCACACACATACCACAAATACACATTTATGGCACACAGAATCCCAGAACAGTGTGAGGTGGAAGGACCCTCTGGTGATGACCCAGCTCAACTCCTGCCCAGGCAGGGTCGCCTGGAGCAGGTGACGCTTGTCCAGGTGGGTTAGGGTGTCTCCGTGGAGGGACACCCCTCACCCTCCTGGGCAGCTTCCCAGGGCTTGGCCTTTCCATGATGGAGGGAGGTTGTGCCTCATGCTGAGCTGGGACTGTTGGAGCCCAGGGCTGACTCCTCATCCTTCGCTGGACAGGATGGGGCTGGGCCTGGCACCATCCTCATCACCTGGGGAGGTCTGGGCTTGGTGGGATCCCCCTCAGATGTTTGCATGGATTGGTGCAATCCCCTCAGGTGAGGGATTAGTGTGGACATGTGAGCAGCAGTCCAAAGCTCCACATGGACTTGGGAGCCCTGGCAGCCCATCAGGCACAGAGGGGGAATTGCCAGGAGCAGGGGGAGATGGAAATGGCTCCAGGCTGTGCAGGTGACCCAGAGTGTGGTGACTGGGGCAGGCAAATGGACGTGGAGCAGCAGGACGTGGCATGGTGGCCGCTCAAGCAGCAGGATTTGTAGGAGGGCACAGCCACCCTCCTGACCCTTGAGGTGTGCTCCTCTCAGGTGGGGATTATTTTTTTCACTTGTCCAACTTGATTAGACCCAGCAGTAGTTCACGCACTGACAAAAGCCATTGCTGGCAGGAGTGGGGAGAAGCAGACACAGCTCCCCAAGAAACACCGGGCTGCAGGGAGTGTCTGAGCTTACTGTTACTGCTGGAGCACAGTGAAACAGCACTACATGGGGTGTGAACAGGTGGGGGATCTCACAGAGGAGGTGGGGAGGCTGAGGATTGTCAAGGAGTGCCAAGAGAAACAGACTGGTGGAGTTGCACCTTCCATCCAGGAGAGAAATGCAGTGCATGAAAGCTCAGCAAGAGTCAGAGTAGGTAGGCCCTTACCCTCTTGCCATCAGGCAGGAGGAGACCTAAAAGGTGGGAATGGAAATCGGTCCCTGCTTAGGGAGGTAGCAGAATCCCCTCCTGACTTCTCTCGCCTTCCCAGGTGCCCTTACAGAACCGATGCGAGGTCCTGGATTTTGAGGGTCAGACAGTTGAGAATGGAGCAGAAAGTCTCCTTGGTGGGTCTCCCAGATCCGTGCAGTCAGTCAGACAGATCACAACTACAGTTATTAAGGAAAAAGGAAGGGCAGTTGTAGTGTGTGATTCACTTTGAGTGGGGCTGAGGACCCTGTGTTCCAACCAGCTCCACCCCACAGGGAAGTCTGAGGCCTCCCTGAGGCCCAGGCAAGGGACATTGCTGAGAGACTCCCTGCACTAACTCAGCTCACCAGGTGCTGCCCACTGCTCATTGTCCTGATGAGAGAAGTACCAGGGTAGCAGAAAAGGACTTCAGGGCACTGGGTTGCCTGGTTGAAGGGACAAGAGCACAAAGTACAAGAGGTGGTGGTCTTGATTCCTTTGGTAGTAGGGATGAATGCAAAAATGAACAGGAAAATCCATGGGACTAAAAAGTAGCTTAAAGACTGGTGCCATTGGTGGAATTTTGGGTTTTTTGAACATGAGGTAGTTTATATAGCACCAGGCTGGAGATAGATGCATTCACCTCTAGAAGAGGCAAAAGGATTCCAACCTGTAGATTGGCAGGACTGGTTGAGAGGGCTTTAAACTAGATTTGAAGGGAGACAGGGATGACAGCACACTCACTAGAAATGAAGCTGGGGGCAGGAGGCCAGTGCTGGGGAGAGATCGATAGCACAGCTAAAGTGCATCTACACCAATGCAGCAGTGTGGGCACCACAGGAGGAGCTGGAGGCCGTGGTGCAGCAGCAAAGCTCTGATGTAGTTGCTGTCACGGAACTGAGATGACTCCATGACTGGAATGCTGCAATGGATGGCTCCAAGCTCTTTAGAAGGGACAGGTGAGGCAGGAGAGGTGGTGTGATGACTCTGTACCTTAGGGAGGGTTTTGGCTGTCTGGAGCTTAGTAATGAAAAGGTTGAGTGGTCATTGTGAAAATTAAGGGGAAGGCTGGCAAGGCAGATATCCTGGTGGGGGTCTGTTCTAGACCTCCCAACCAGGATGAAGAGGCCGATGAATTATTCTATAAAGTGCTGGCTGATGTTTAGTGGTTGCCAGCCCTTGTTTTTGTGGAGGTCTTTAACCTACTGGATGTCTGCTGGAAGCAACACAGTGGAGAGGAGACAGTCTGAGAGGCTCCTGGAATGAAGAGAACTTCTGGCTCAGTAGCTGAGCAGCCCACCAAGGGTGGGGCCCTGCTGCACGTGGTGTTTGCAGACTGAGAGGGGCTGCTGGAAGATGGTGGAGCCATCTTGGGCACAGTGACCCTGAAATGAAGGAGTTTCAGTCCTTGGTGAAGTAACAAAGTGTGTCAACAAAACCTCTACACTGTCAGAGGGTGAATTTCAGCCAGTTTGGGACACTGATTGGGACAGTCCCTTGGGAAGCGGCACTTAAAAACAAAGGGTCCCAGGAAGGCTGGGCATACATCAAGAAGGAAACCTTTAAGGTGCAGGAGCAGCCTGTCCCTATGTGCCTAAAAATGAGCTGGTGGGAAAGAAGTGATTGTCCCCCTGAACTTGGCATTGGTGAGGCCACACCTCAAGTCCTGTGTCCAGTTCTGAGCCCCTCAGTTCAAGGAGGACATTGAGGGGCTGGAGTGTGTCCAGAGAAGCAACATAGCTGGGGAGGGCCTAGAGGGTGAATCCTCTGAGGAGCAGCTGAAGGAGCTGGAGAGGCTCAGCCTGGAGAAAAGGAGGCTCAGGGGAAACCTTCTCACTCTCCAGAACTCCCTGACAGGAGAGCAGAGCCAGGGGAGACTCAACCTCCCAGGGAACAAAGGACAGGACAAGAGGGAGCGGCCTCAAGTTATGCCAGAAGAGGTTCAGGGTGGACTTCAAGAAAAATTTCTGCCTGGAGAGGTGGTCAGATATTGGAAGGGGCTGCCCCATGGAGTCCCAGTCCCTGGAGGTGTCCAAGAAATTATGGAGGAAAAAATGTAAACCTTTATTTCTTGAGGTATTTAATCAAAGTCAGGTGCCTTTCTGAAATGGATGCAAATAAAAATTTGCAAAAGGTGAATGTAGGCGAAGTAGCAGTGCACTGCTGTTTTACAGTAAGGATCACCACATTTAAAATATTCATTCAGGGTGGGAAGAAGAGTTGACAGGCTGAGAGAGTTATGGTTGGTCAGCCTGGAGAACAGAAGGTTCCAGGGAGACTTTGGTGCCTCTTCCGGTACTTAAAAGGGGCTTAGAAAAAGGCTGGAGGGGTGGAGGGGTACTTTGGACAAGAGCGTGTAGTGATAGGACACAAGAGAAATGGCCTTAAGCTGAAGGTGGGTAGATTTAGATTAGGTGTTAGGAGGGAATTTCTGACTGTGAGTGCAGGCAGGCCTTGGCACAGAGCAGCTGTGGCTGCCCCTGGATCCCTGGCAGTGCCCAAGGCCAGGCTGGACAGGCCTTGGAGCACCCTGAAATAGTGGAAGGTGTCCCTGCCCATGGCAGGGGTGGCACTGGGTGGTCATAAAGTCCATTCCACCCAGACCATTCCACGTCTCTATGACTCTGTGCTGCCCCTCCCTGCCATGCCCAGCACTCAGAACCAGCCCCTCTGTGACAGCGGCCCTGGCCCGGGCACTGTGAGCACCACGAAGGCTGTGGGTGCTGTGGCAGTGGCCGCACTGGAGGCGACACCTCTGCTCTGGCTCTGCCACCTGCGCTGGTGCCGATGGCTTTGCTGGGGCTGCTCATCCTGCTGGCCCTGGCCGGGCCTGTGTGGGGCACCTGGGACACCTGCAGGTCAGTGGTTCCAGGCTCTGGGAGGGAGCTGGAGGAACACTTGGGGACTTCCCTGGCAGAACTGTGGTGAAAGATGCCCCTCGGGGTTGTCTGGCCCTGCTGCTGCTCAGCACCAGGTGGGACTTTCAGCCTGAGCAGCAGCAGCCACCGAGCAGGGCAGTGATGGCTTTGTACTTCCAGAGGGACCTGCGGGCTCCGGCCCATGGCCTCTGACCACAGCTCTGCTGTTCTTGACTACAACTCCGTGGTTTCTGCTGCTGGCACGTCCCATGTGGGTGGCACCAGTGTCCAGCCAGGGGCCTGGCCTGGCATTGTCAGCATCCAGGCCACCTGGGAGAACGGCACGTGGCACATGTGCACGGGTGTCCTCCTCAGCTCCCAGTGGGTGCTCACGGTCGCACACTGCTTCGCCAGGGCCGGGTAAGAGACAGCAGGGACAGAGATGTCCCCAGAGCACGGGCAGGCGCCCAGCTCACAGCACCACGGGCCACTTCCCTGCCCACCTGGGGAAGAAGAAGGCCGGGAAATGCTGGGCCTGCTGCAGCCTGTGGCTCTGCTCCCTGTCACCCCTCTGTCCATCTGCTCCCCAGGGGCATCTCCATGTGGGATGTGGTGATCGGGGCCACAGATCTGAGACAGCCAGGCCCTGAGGCTGTGGTGAGACGCATCCAGAGGCTCCTGGTGCACCAGCACTATGTGGCTGCCACGGCCAGGAACGACATCGCCCTGGTGGAGCTGGACCAGCCCGTGGAGTGCAGCGACTACATCCAGCTGGGCTGTGTGCCCGACGCCTCGCTCAGGGTCTCGGAGCTGAAATCCTGCTACATCGCCGGCTGGAACTTTGCCAGAGGTGAGTTCCCAACAGGATGTGTGCTCTGAGGGCAAGCTGGGCACCGTGGGGACAAGGGCTGGGCACCGTGGGGACAAGGGCTGGGCACCCAGGGGACACGGGCTGGGCACACACAGGGACAGGGGCTGAGCACCCAGGGGACACGGGCTGGGCACACACAGGGACAGGGGCTGGGCACAGACAGGGACAGGGGCTGGGTACACACAGGGTCACGGGCTGGGCACAGACAGGGACACGGGCTGGGCACACACAGGGACAGGGGCTGGGCACACACAGGGACAGGGGCTGGGTACACACAGGGACACAGGCTGGGCACACACAGGGACACGGGCTGGGCACACACAGGGACACGGGCTGGGCACAGACAGGGACAGGGGCTGGGCACAGACAGGGACAGGGGCTGGGTACACACAGGGTCACGGGCTGGGCACACATAGGGACACGGGCTGGGCACACACAGGGTCCGGCCGCACGGCGCCGGCGGGGCCGGGCTCGGAGCAGCCTGGGCTGGGGGAAGGAGTCCCCGCCAAGACGGGGCGCGGAACAGGATGAGCTGTAAGGTCCCTGCTCACCCAAACAATTCCTGCTGGCCCTGGGAAACTCGGGGGAGATGGGTCTGGCCCCTTCCCCAGGCCAACAGCAGGGACACAGCTGGACAACATCGCTCCGTGCGGAAGGGGCAGGGACACAGCTGGACAATGTCGCTCCGTGCGGAAGGGGCAGGGACACAGCTGGACAATGTCGCTCCGTGGGGAAGGGGCAGAGCCAGGCCCAGGAAGGGGGTTCACCCTAGGCAGGGGAGGGGATGGGTACTGAGCTGCTGGGGCTCATTCCCCTCTGTGCCCACAGCTCAGGGAACAGGCATGGTGCTGCAGGAGTCCAAGGTCCACCTCATGGACACGGAGCTCTGCAATAGCAGCCCATGGTATGCAGGGGCCGTTCATGCTGACAACCTGTGTGCTGGGTACCCACAGGGCGGCATCGACACCTGCCAGGTAGGAGCGTGTGATGAGTCCCTCAGCCCCCGGCAGCGCAGGGACCCCCTCATCCCCCACATCCAGCCCAGCCTGTCCCCTGTCCACCCCTCCCCTCCCCACAGCAGCCCCCCACAGTCCCTGAACCTTCTCTCCTGGCACAGGGGGACAGCGGCGGTCCCCTCGTCTGCAAGGACAATCAAGCTGATTACTACTGGCTGGTGGGATTGAACAGCTGGGGAAGAGGCTGTGACAGAGCCAGGCACCCTGGGATCTACACCTCCACTCAGCACTTCTACAACTGGATCCTGCTCCAGACGGGCCTGAGCCCAGCAGAAAGAGCTGGTCCAGCACCAGAGCCAGTTGTCACTTCAGCCCCCGAGGAGGAGGCTGAGGAACCAGAGGAACCAGAGGAACCAGAGGCACCAGAGGAACAGATCAACTTGACCCCTGAGTACAGCCAGAAACCAGCAGTGACATCCTCGGGCACGTCACTGCCCATGGCATTCCCACACCAGATCCTGGTGCAATTCTGGAATCTGGTGCAGGAGTTCCTGCTGTTTTAGAAGGACAAAAAAGCCTGAGCAGCAGCAGCAGGATGAGCAGGATCCAGGGCTACAGTGGATCACAGCAGCTCCAAGGCAGCCTTGGGGCCAGAGGCTTCTCTGTCCTGCCCACGCTGCTGCGCTGCGGCCACAGCGATGCTGACGTGACTGAGGTGTTGAAGTAAAGTTTCTGTGTTCACCATTACCCATGTTTTCAGCCCTGCTCAGTGCACTTGCAGGCTCGCAGAGTCCCTGCTCTGTCTGTCCATCTGGTGTGCTGTTCACATTCATTCTTCAGTCCGGAGAGGGCTTCAGGGAAACCTCAGTGCCCCTTGTAAAGCAGGTTATAATAGTGGGGGAGAGCAGCTTTTTGCATGGGCAGGCCATGATAGGACAAGGAGGAATGGATTAAATCTAGAAGAGGGGAAATTGGGATGAGGTGCTGGGAAGGAGTTTTTACTCAGGGGGTGATGAGGCCCTGGCACAGGGTGCCTGGAGAAGATGTGGCTGCCCCTGGATCCTGGAAGTGTCTAAGGCCAGGTTGGACAGGGCTTGGAGCAACCTGAAATAGCGGAAGGTGTCCCTGTTCATGGCAGGGGGTGGCATGAGGTGACCTTTAAGGTCCCTTTCTAACCAAACCATTCCATGTTTCCATGACTGTTTTAAGAGTGTGTGTGTGTATCCAGCTCTCTGGAATGCAGCATCTTGTGCAGACACTCACACACAGACAAGAGCCATGGCCACATCCAACAAGCTGGGACAGAACCAGCCTCTGGGTGTGAGTCCACCTGTGTCAGCTGTACGGATGGGAAGGAGAAGCCTCCTGTGCTCAGCAGCCCCTGGGATCTGGCTGTTGTGGGCCAGAATGGGGACAGCAGCCCAGGGATGGCAGCAGATGTCATGGGCGAACTGAGGCAGCACTGGCTCAGCTGGAAGCAGGCTGGGCTGGCCTGTGGCCTTAAACAACCTGGGACCTGCCTCCTTACAGCAGCAGTGTGGGAAGGATGCCATCTCATAGCTTTGTAAAAATATCCTTTAGTGTTTGCTTTCTGCAGCAGGTACCACTAGAGTGCCTGGGCAGGATCCCCCCTGCAGGTCCAGGATGGTTCACTTCTCTTAGGCAGCTCTGTCCTGAGGGAGCAGTAGGAACGAGCCACCATCCATGTGGATCCTCCCATCCCTCTCCTGAGCGAAATGTGCAGCAGCGAGGGCCGAGCCAATGAAGATCCTGCCCAGGTAGGCTCCCACAAGAAGGGAAGAGGCCCAGCTGCCCACCACCATTGCTCTAGGGCAAGAGAAGCATCACTGTCCTCCACACAGGCCCCAGAAGTCCAGAGCCAAGGGGAAAACAGGCTCAGGGTCCAGGCCTAGGCAGATGAGGGCTCCTCTTCAGTGCAGCTCTTCCCTTTATCTGGCGACTCCTTGCTTGTGTTCTGCAGGTCAAAGCTCTGGAAAGAAGCAGGACAAGGAACTGCTGAGAACAGACTGCAACAACTGTATCTGCTGTGGCTCTTTTAGACTCTGCCTAGGGCAGGGAGAATTCTTGTGATGGTTCCCACTTCCTCCCTCCCAGCCCAGACTGAGCAGCACACAAAGCCCAGCAGAGGGCAAAGCTTCCCGTGCCGCACAGTTTCCCTCCTTTGCCACAGGGGAAAAAGAGCAGAACTGCTCAGACTGAACAGGGACAGAGCCTTCCCTACCTCCAGCTCCCGCAGGACCTCGTCCATGAAGTCTCCCGAGTGCTGTTTGTAAGCCACGGCCAGTCTGATGGCGTCGTTGAAGAGCTGGTGGGAAGGACAAGGCCCGTCACTCAGGATGGGGCACATGGGCACTGGGTTTCTTGTAGCACAGAGGGTTTTTTTTCCCCCTGGGTTCCCACATCCCATGGGAAAAAAACCCTCTGCAGCTCTCCATAGCCACTCACATGGAGCTGAAATGATGGACCATTTCCTGCTCTCTGTGCCCACAGCAGCCCCCATGTCCCTGGGCTCCCAAGGGGCCTTGTGGACACCAAGCCCAGCAGTCAAACGCCCATCTCACCTTCACCACGTTGGTGCCATCAGCAGCAGACACAAAGTAAAAGGGCAAACTGAACTTCCGGGCAAAATTGAAGCTTTTCTGGGTCACCTTCATATCGGCTGAGGCAGACAAAGAAGACATGGTCAGTCAGACATGGCAGGAGGTGCAGAAGGTGGTGTCTTCTGTGTGACACAACAGATGAGCCACAGCCCTGTGACAGCAATCACCAGGGCTGGCTGGCATTCCCCATGGGAGGAACCTTCCAGCCTCCTGCAGAGCAGGTGAACAGTTCTGTCAGCAGCTACATTGAGACACTTCAGCACAGAGGATCTGTGCAGGCTGAAGGAGCACCAAGGCCATCCCTGACTGATCCAGGGAAGCCACAGAACAGCTTTTGCTTCCTTTTGCTGCCATTTTTGACCAGGTGCTACTCCAATCACTTTTGGGTTCTTGACAGATAGAATAGGCAGTGTGGCAAGGACAGAACTTGTCCCCAGTGTGGCAAGGAAGAAAAACGCTTGAATAAAACTGAAATGGATGAAATTTGCACTTTTAATTGCTGGTGACACAAGACAAGCATCTGTAAGGCAGCAGCTGAGGTCAGCACAGGACCCAGCCCTGGGGGACTGAGGAAATCCTCTGGACCCAACAGACAAGGGACATTGGTTCTCAGTAAGGACAGGAGTGAATCCCAGCACGACCTGGATAGCTGGGAGCAGAAGGCACACTCACCATCAATCTTGTTGGCCACTACAATGCACGGAATCTCTGGGCGGAATTCCCTCAGCTCCTTGTACCAGCTGTTCAGGTTCTTGTAGGTGACCTTCCGCTGCACATCAAACACCTTCCAAGAGAGAACCACCTATCCCGGGGCCAGCCCAGCACTGACTGACCCAGGACAGCTCTGACCAACACAAGGACACAATCCAGAATGTTCCCAGGAAGACAAGATGAAGGGAACTGGGTGTTATTAGAAAGGGTGAGAGAGAAAGGGACAGTATTGCCAAGCCCAGCGAGCAGGAAACAGCCCCTTGATGTCCTTTACACTGCCCTGTGTCCTGTGCAAGTCCCTGCCACCCACACAGGGAGCTGGCACTGGGAACAGTTTGTGCCAAATGGGATCAGATGTGGCCTCCTCTGTTCTGACAACTAAACCACCAATGAAAATCACTGGTGGAACAGTGGAAAGTGAGAGTGACAGGACAAACCAGGAGATCTGAGCAGGAGAGGAGCCAACAAAACTGGCAACAGGGGCAAACATGAGGACATTGAGAAGACAGCAGAGCCAGGGGATAGAGGAAAAGGGTTACCAGGAAAGACAGACCAGAGCTAACCAGGTCCATCTACAGGGGGTTTATCTGGTGAGAGAAGAAAGAACAATCTAGGAAAGTTTTTTAAACCACTGGAAGAGACAAGGAACACATGGCAGTGTAACCATAAAAGTAACACAAAGGCCAAGTGTCCCTGAGACCATTGTGCACCCAGCTCCCACAGGTGCAGCTGAGACCCCCCTCACCATGATGCAGGCATGGGCCTGGTGGTAGTAGGAGGCATGCATGCTCCGGAACCGTTCCTGGCCCGCCGTGTCCCAGAAGTCTGTAACACAAAACCAGCTCAGAATGACACAACTCACCGAGCTCTGTTCTTCTCACAACTTACACCCAGGAGGCAAAGCATAGCCCACCTGCTCAGAGACACAAACTGAGCTTCACCTCACCAGTCTGAAACACCTGAGGGTTAAGAAGTTGTGCCAAACTGGGACCTTTCCTCACTGGGCTCAGCTGTGGGCTGTGCTGGCACAGGCCAACAACAAAGGAGAAGCCACCAGTGACAAGAGTTGTGTGGGACAGCAGGACCAAGACAGGCAGAAGTGCACAGAGCAGTAGCCATGTCTGGCACTCTGTCGCTAGGGATGACAATGGGAAACTACCTAAAACTCCAGGAGATGCTGGGCACTGCTGATTTCTGACCCAGCGATGGTCAGCCAGGGCCCTGCCGAGGGAAATGCTTCAGCTCCTCTCACAGACATCTGACTCTGCTCTCCCAGGGGCAGGAATCATTCTGAAGTGCTGAAGCTAAGTCAGCCAGAGGCAAACAGGTCCCAGTCCATGAAGTTCTGTGTACACCAGCAACCATGGGGCAGACCTGGACACAGCCGTGCCTTTAGCTGTTGGTGCAGCTCAGGTGGAGATCCCCCACCTCTCACTGGGTTTGTAGGTTCACATCTGGCTCTGGTTTGCTGTATAAATTGGCACAGCTTCAGTTAAGAACCTCAGTGTAGTCACACCTCTTGTCAGCTGGACCCAAGCATGGTGCTGTACCCAAAGCCAAATGAGCCAGTTTCCTTAGGGATTCCTTTGCACTGATACTGTGACTGGACTCTGTGTCAGACCTACTGGACAGTGACTTTCTTAAACTGCCCAAATACAGACAGGTCCCCACCAGACCACATTTGCATTCACTGTCTGTATCACAACGAAGATGTTGAGCAGTGTCAGCCTCAGCCCCAATGAGCCATGACCAGTGACTGGATGCGGAGTCCATCCAGACCATTCTTTATCCTCCGACTGTCCACCCAACCCCTGTCTCTCCAGCTCAGAGTCCAAGACATCGTGGGGACAGTGCCCTGCACTCTGCCAAGCCCAGGGGGATGATGGCAGTCACTGTGCCCCATCCACCAATGCTGCAGCCCGTCCCAGAAGGACACTAGATTTGTCAGGATGCTGTTGGCTATCAAAACACGATACCGAGACCCAGACCGAGGGGATCTGCCCTTCCCAGCTGTTCCCTCTGCCATGGCACCCCATGTCCCCGGGCTGGCCCCACTCACCCACGCGGACCTCCTGCCCGCCCACGCGGGCGCGGTGCTGGTACAGCGTCAGGGCGAAGGTGGAGAGCTGCTGCGGCTGGCTGCGGCGCGTTAAGGACCCACCGAGCGGGGCAGAGCCGCTCCCCCGCCGTGCCCGCCCCGCTCCCCGGCCGCCAAGGATACAAGCCATCGAGCAGGAACCGCTCCAGCAGCCTGCCGAGAGAGCGAGCACGTGTCCCGGAGAGCCGCGGCACCGCGCTGAGGCCCGGCTCCGCGGGACCCCTGCCCCGACCCGCGGGACGCCCGTGCCCCACGCACTTGGACTTGCCCACGGCGCTGTCGCCCAGGCAGATGATCTTCACCGTCTCCTCGGCGCCGGCCTCGGCCCCATCCCGGGCCCCGTCCGGGGCCTCCTCCCGCGCCGCGGCCCGGCCCTGCTCCTCCGCCGCCGTCGCCATGGCAGCGCCTGCGCGTCCCTGCTGCCGCGCGACGCTCCCCGGCCCCGCCCCATCCCGGTTCGGCCCCATCCCGGTCCCGCCCCCCGATCCCGGCCCCGCCCCATCCCGTCCGGCCCGGCCATGGCGGCCCCCGCGCGGCGGCTGCAGCTGACGTTGGCGCTGCTCAAGCCGGACGCCGTGGCCCATCCGCTCGTGTGCGAGGTGAGAGCCGGGCCGGGCCGGGCCGGGCCGAGCACAGCACAGCACAGCACAGCACGGCAGGCCTCGCCACGACCCCGCCCAGCGCCGCCTCTTCCCGCAGGCCGTGCACGCCGCTATCCTCCGTCACCGGTTCCTCATCGTCCGCGCCAAGGAGGTGCGGTGCGGCGCGGAGCAGAGCCGCCGCTTCTACCGGGAGCACGCAGGTACGAGAGGGGCTCGGGGGGCCGGAGCGGGGTGCTGCCCCGGGCCGGTGCCGACTCGGTCCGTGTCTGTCCGCAGGTCGTTTCTTCTACCAGCGGCTGGTGGAGTTCATGGCCAGGTACGTGCCGTGACCCGTGTGCGGAGCTGGGCGGCTCTCGGCATCGCAGCCTGCTGTGACAGCAGCGATACCTGGCGGGTGGCACCCCCGGAGGTGCTGGGGGTCATCGTGTGCAGCAGGCCAGCAGTGCCAACGCCGGGGCCTCGGTGCCACGCTGGGACCGTGCCCGTCCCCACGGCGTGGCAGGGCAGGCCGGGGCCCAGCGTGGCAGCCCATGGCAGCTGTACTGTGCAGGTTTGTAAGGACGAATAACCTGTTTGTAATGAGCTTTTCGTAATCTTTTCTCCTGCTGTTCCTGGGCCCTTGCTGCAGTGGCCCCATGTGGGCTTACATCCTGGCCCATGAGAACGCTGTCCCTCTCTGGAGATCCCTCATGGGACCCACTAAAGTGTTCCGAGCCCGACACAGCGACCCAGACTCCATCCGAGGTGCCTACGGCCTTACGGACACCAGGAACACGACCCATGGCTCAGGTAGGCCTAGCATTCCTGGATGGTTCTTGGGGAGGCAGGAACAGTGGTGCTTTGTCTGTCTTTGCTTTAGTTCTGGGGCTCCAAGTGAGCGATTTGCTCCCTTCTGCAGACCCCACGCACACCTGGCCAGGTGCAGCCTAGCCAGGCACCTTTGGAGTGCAGCATGTGTTTGTGGTGGCAGACTGGCATCTCACTGCCTTTCCCTCTCTTTTGACAGACTCACCTGCCTCAGCCAGCAGAGAAATTGCCTTTTTCTTCCCCGAGTTCGACGAGCAGCGCTGGTACGAGCAGGAGGAGCCGCGGCTGCGGCGCGGGCAGCTGTTCCACAGCACCCAGGAGCGCCTGCTCGGGGCTCAGCCCGCACAGGTGACCCCAGTGACTGGGCAGGGGGTGCTGTGCTGGCCTGGCAGCCCTGTGGGCACTCTCCTGGGGCAGCAGACACAGAGCTGTGCTGCATGCCGGGGAGTGTGGGAGGGGGAAAGCAGCCTTGTGCTGCCTGGGATCAGATTAATGGTGTTACAGGCAGGTGCTGGGGGCTGTAGGAAGAGTTCCCCCAGCAGTGCTCATGGTGACAGTCTGGCCGTGCAGCTCACTGGCTCCCTGAGTGTTTTTGGGTGTGAACAGGACAGGTGAGTTGGTCAAGGGCCAGGTGAAGGATGGGTTGCTTGTTCCAGATGGGATTGGCCTGGGTTTGCTGATGGGAAGCCTCAGATTCTCCCAGCTGGCTGTTCCCACAGTGCCTTAGGGAGAAAAGAAGGAAGAAGAACATAAAGAAAGACATCAGCAGGGCAAGATGAACTGTCCTGTCCTTGCTCACCTGCAACTGGGCTGGGAAATGAGGAGCTTTGTCAATAGCTCTGCATGTGAGAGCACTTGGAGCCCTCCGTGTCCACGGCCCAACTGGGTGCTGGGGCAGTTCCGTGTCCTTGGGAAATGGGATGAACACGGCCATGGAGTTACCCAGATATGTGGTGGAACAATGACAGGCTGGTGCAGGAGGGCTTAGTTAGGAGGTACAGAGCCAGGTCCTGGCGGCTGATTTGCATTTCTCTCTGTGATGCTGTGTGAGATGTGTTCCTCAGTGGGGTTTCAGTCCATTTATGCTGTCTCCCTATGGGCTCCTTGCAGTGCTGCCATTTTAGTTACAGTGCCCTGTTGGAATTTCATTTGGGCAGTCCCAAATGCTCAGGCTGGGGAAGGTGTGCTGTGCTGGGCTTGGGGCAGGAAAGCTGAGCTGAGATTCAGCAGAGCCCTGGCACATCACAGAGCCAGGGCAGGGACTCTCCAGGTGCTTCCAGAACCCCGTGAGCTGTTGGGTAGTGACTGACTGACTCTGTGGTGGAAAGCACGGCCCAGACTCGCCCAACTCACGTGTCTGTGTTCCCTCCTCCTCCTGTCTGGGATCAAATGGTCATTGTTCTGTTCCAGGTACAGATCCAGGGATCTGCAGGACACCACTGCTGTCCCTGTCCCAGCAGTGTCCAGAGTGGATCTGCTCAGGATCCTGTGTGTCTTCACACAGGTCTGAGAGCTGTTGTCCCCAGTGCTGTTGATACTTGATTGATATTTTGTCATGTTTTTTAATTGATTCCTGGAGGTTTTGCTCAGATCTGTGTGTTTTTCTTTTAACTATTAAACTTTACTATTTTTCACCTTTCTTCTTTTACGTTGTGCTTTCCTTTTGGGATATTCCTTGGTAATATCATTAATTGATAATTCCTGGCTCACACTTGCCACTTTTGAAGTTTTGGTCTTTTTTCCTACTCACTTGCAATGGTTACACTTGGGAAAAGGGCCCTTTTGAACATTGCCAGTGCAGAGAACTCTGCCAGCAGGATTGTCACAGTGACACCACCTTACAGCCACCGTGATTCAGGTACCTGCTGGTGGCATCTTAGCATTGCCCTGGCCCTGAGGCTGTACCTGAGCCCGGGTGCTCATACTGGGCAGCCCATTGCCCCAGACAGAGGATTTATTTTGTGAATCTAAAGCTGTCCAGCAGACTTTATCAGAGACCTGAGGCTGAAGCACTTGGTGTTTGATGCAAGAGACAGTGTCAAAACTGATTTTTTCTCTCCAAGGAAGTCTTACAAAATGTCATGGGTAACTCAGCTTGGAGGGCTCTTATCAAAGTGGGCTTGTTTTGGGTTTTTTTTCCCCATTTTCTTTTTCTTTTCCTTGTAAATACCCAGTAAGTGATTTTTTGCTTTTCCAGTGGTGCTTGCCCCATCGCTGGCAGTTTCCTGGGCTGAGCTGGATGGGCCTGGAGCAGCATGGTGTAGTGTGTGACATCCCTGCTCATGGCAGGGGCACGGAGCTGGATGAGCTCTATGGTCCCTCCCAGCCCAAACCATTCCCTGCTGATGCTGATGGGTGTGTGTTACAGCAGTAAATCAGTCTCCCAGCTGGTCTCAAACCGAGACAATGTGGCACCTCAGTACAGGTTTGAAGGGCGGTTTGAGATCCCTGTTTTTTCCTGGAAGCTGCAGGTGCCTGGCCCAGCCGTGGGATCTGCGCACAGGGCTGGTCACAGCCGTGTGTCTGCAGCAGCTTCTGCCCAGGGGCTGCTGCAAAGCACTGCCTGGGGCACAAGGTCCAGCCCCAGCACCTGCAGGGACACCTCAGGTGTGGAGCTGGGACAGGGCATCTCACAGGGACCTATGAGTTTGGGCCTAAACTTGATCTGCTCTTGGAAGAATTGAGCAAGTTTGTGTCAGCGCTGGAGGGGACAACACGGTTTGGCCTGGGAAGAAGGGAAGGAAAGGCTTCAGAGGGAGATCAGTGCTGATGCCAGCCCAGGCCTGGCCTCAGTTCCTGCCACCACGGGCAGAACCCTCTCAGCTTGAGGAATTTCATTTGATTTATTGCTGTAACACAAACTTTTTAGTAACTGATTCAGGTACCAAGGAAAACCCAAGATAATGACTAAAGAAACACGTGGGGAAGCACCTTTCCTCTACTTTGCCAGGTTCAGCTTCAGTCCAGCATCTTTTGTCCCTTCTTTTCCTGCAGGTTCTGCCAGTCCCTGGGGGAGGTGACACAGCACAGAGGGCTGGGGCTGGGCTGGGCTTTGCTTTTCTACTTGTTTCTTCCTCTTTCCTCCTTGTTTACTCACTCATGGCACATCCACAGGCTTCAGTCCCTCAGGTGTGTACCTGCTCTGGTGTCATCCCTCCCTGGGCTGGTCTCTTCAGGGAGAAATGGGCCAGTGGGAATTCCATGAAGTTTCTAGAGGAAAACGCCGTGTCCTGCACCTGGGCAGGGATGTTTCCATTTGCCAACACTCACATGAGAGACCAGAGAAGCATCTGGCTGTCCTGATGGCCACGAGCCACCCCTGAGTCAGCGGTGCACCTCCATGGTCTGACAGCATCCTCAGGTGTGGGAGCCAGAGGATTTGCCCACAGGTTACCCCCATCCCCTCCTGGGGCACAGGGAAGGCCACATCTGGAGCACTGGCACCAGTTTTGGACTCCCCAGTACAAGACAGCCTGGTCAGAACTGGGGTCCAGCATGGACTGATTAGGACATCTGAGAATCTGACAGGTAAGGAGAGGCTGAGGGCTGGGGCTGCTCAGACTCAGGAGCTCAGTGGGGTTTATCAATGGGTAGAAATCCCAGGTGTGAGCAGTGAAGGGAACCTCAGGTATCCCAGGTATGGACACAAGGCAATGGAAACAACCCGAAAACTGGCAATTTCACTGAGACATAAAAAACCCTCTTTTATTATTTTTATACTCCAAGGGTGATAAAATAAGGTCAGGAGTCCCTATACCAAGGCAGGGCTTTGGCCTCAACACCCCCTGAAGTTCCTTTCTGTGCTGCTGGGCAGGTGTGGGCCCTGGGGTGTTGCTGCAGTGGCAGGGGATGCACTGGGGCAGCAGGTCAGGCCTCTCCTTCCTCCAGCATGGCCATAATTCCTACCAGCCCCACCTGGGGGCTCTGCTGCTGTTCCGTATTTCCCTCTCTGCAGCTCATCTGTGTTGGAACCCTGGATGCTGAGAATTCCAGACTTTCTGTGCTGACATGCACTGGTCCCCAAGAGAACACAGCATTTGACCTGAGGCTGTGGAGAAGGCTTCCAAAATTGATTGATAGCACTTGTATTATGGGTGTGTAGCTGGTTAGAAGGGTGTAGTATCACAGGGTGGAAAACTTAGAGTTTAAGGTTTTAGAATATAGTAATATATGTAGAGCAAGATGAAGGTTTTAGCACAGTAGCTGGTCCTTCTTCACCTTCTTCCTTCTTCTTCATGGGTTTGGGTGATTTTGTGTAATTGGACAGAAAAGTCTGCATTGCAGACTTTGAGTGATTAGTTATTGGGTTAAACATGAAAATAACTTAGGTGCCATTTCTTAATTGGATAGTTTAGCCTCAAAAGACCATGTACAGAAGATTGTTAGCCATTTTGTAGCTTGTTAGTAGAATACTGTAGAACTCACCACTTGTAATAGACATAAGAAATAATAAACACCCGAGTCAGGACACAAAACACTGTCTTGAGTGCTTCAATCCCCACCTTGACAGAGGCAGAAAAGAAGCCAAGAACCAGCAGATCTGCTCTTCTCACAACATCCTGTGTCCTGCTTTTCCCAGTCCAGGGACAAGGAAAAATGGATACAAAGGAAATAAAGACAAATTTACCGCTTCAGTGCTGGCTGCACTTGTCTCCGCTAAAGCTGCATCTCACTGTGCAGAGCTACAGACAAGGGTGTTGTCGGTGGCCAGAGATTTTGTGGATTTGATCTTGCATCAGACTGTGGGTTCTCACATGGAAAAGAAAAGGAGCCTGGAAAGCAGCCACAGAATCAAATCCCAGGCAAACAGAAGTAATGGTGTTCAGGGAAAGCTGTGCCAGAGAAGTCCAATCCATCCCCACACTGAAAGCTCCAGGGGATTAGCAAACAGTCATCTCAGATTTGGGGGGCACAACCCTGTTGGCCACAGTTTTCCCACAGAGCTGCTGTACAAAGCAGGAGGAACAAGGAGTGAGAGAAACACCAAACTGCAGAAAAAATCCTCATAGATTGGGACTGTTTTTTTCCTAGAACAGAAAAGAAACACTCTCCTGTAGGAGCAACAGGGATAGGACGGTCGGGACAGACGGAGACGAGAGATCTCTGAAGCCAGGGCTTGGAACTTGGGGTTTATTGCACAGGGCCTGGGTGCAGGGGCCTTTTGGGACTTGGGGTTTATTGCAAAGGGCCTGGGTGCAGGGCCCTGCTTGAGCTGCCAGCCACAGCTCAGAGCAGATCTGAGAGAGGAGCCCCAAAGAGAGAGAAAGAGAGAGCAAGAGGAAAAGAGAGGCTGAAAGAGAGCAAAGTTCCCATTACAATACAATAAATCTTCTTCTGTGCTGAATATTCTATTTTTCACTAACCAATCTAGTACAAGATACAAATCCTATAGAATTTACATACAGCCTATAACAACCATTACATTACCATACTGTGTTACATTTTAAACCCTAAAAACTCCTCTTTGGGCCCCTTCTGCCAAGCTGTAGGGTCTGCTCTGACCCTTGGGCCTGTCTGCAAGCAGAGGGTGTTGTTCCATCAAAAGGGGATCACCTTCATTTGGGCCACACCATTGTTTTCCTGTTGTTCAGTAACTCAGGTATCTCAAAGCTTGCTTTCATTTCAATCTTGCTTATAGTTCCATATTCTCAAAATCTTTTGCCAGGCAATCATATTTATAAGGCTTTCCTGTTTCATCTTCCCCAACACTCTCTCACCTCATGCCCCAGACAGGCCAAGATGGGCTGGATCTGGACACTGACCAAATGTAACTTTGAGCTTGATGTGATGCCACAGACCAGACTCCTGTCTACACAGCCAAGCCACCCACCTGGACTCCTCCTCACCTGCATGCATCTCTGTGATACCCTGCCCAAAGCCCTGGCAGGCTCCAGGCAGAACCAGTTGTCATCTCTCCATCAGATCCCGATCCCAATTATCAACATGTCCAGGACCTGATTGGCCCCTCCATTCACACATGACTATTGAGTACTTGTATTAGCCAGATTTCCTCATTAATGTTCCCCTGCCTTTTAAAACATTCCAGATAAACAAAAGACAGTTCTGTATCTCCCATAGCACCTGGAGAAAGTTAAAAGCCATCAGTTATGCAAAGCAGCTACTGCTGCTGCTGGAGCTGAATATTTAAATTTAACATGGGGCTGTGTTGATCCTTTCCAGAGAACAGATGTTTTATGGAAACACTTTAGAAATCCATCCCTCCCCTGACTACAGGAGAGTTCTGGAAGCAATGGGAGGGATGAGTTTTGGTGACAGCACTGTTGGAGTGTCTGTGCAGTCCTGGAGCAGCTCCTGCATGCAGCAGCAGCCATGGTTCAGCATTTCCCAAGCCCATCCCTGGGTACCTGCACAGGGACAACAGGCAGGAGAAGTTTAAACATTGGACAGAAGGAAAACACCAGAAAAACTATAGATGTGAGACTGTGGCAGCACCATCCATCACAAAACTAAGCTGAACCAGAATTCAGGTTATTGTTTTTGTTATTTCGTGACACAAAGTTTGGAGGTCAGATAAAGCAACTGAAAATCTTTGTGACAGAGAATAATAAGCCTGAGGCAAGGCCCAGGTCTCTGGTTTCAGCTTGGTCTGTACCCACAGATCAGGGATGGGAAAGGGGCAGCAAGGAGAGAAAAATTAGATAAATTGTGTTAAATTAAACCCTTTGGAAGTTAAACATCAGAGGTGACTCAGCATAGGACCAAGAGGCACCAGAATGACTCAAACAAGTAATGTATGAGGTATGCAATGCTGTAGTAACTGCTCCTACCTACTGTGGGATATACCTGCTGTGGCTGGAGGAGAGCAAGAATTTGGGCAGGAGGTACAATCAGGATTGCAAATTGCCCTGGAATCTTAACATTTTATTTTTTGTTGCAAAAACAGATGTTTTCAAAATGCTTCCTGTCACCCAAATATTTCCCAGAGCCTGTCAAAGCACTGGCCAATTACTTACTGTTTTCTGTTTTTGTTTTACTTCAGCAGTTCCAGGAGTGTGTCCTGTGCACAGACATTTCAAGGTGGTAGCTCTGTGCCGCCTGGGCCCTTCTTGCTCCAAGTGCCTCTGGGATGTGACTGATTCCAGCAGCTGTGGATTAAGTGGCTGCCTTGAACCTTTACCAGCCCAGAACTTTTAACAGCCCGCTGTGGGCCTTGTTTGCACACCGACAAACATGCAGGTGAGCAGGTGGAGTGCTCTGGGCTTTTGTAATTGGCACTGGAGCTCCTGTTCCCAGACAGGAGGCTGTGGGGAATGGGACCAAGCAGGCAGACTGGGAACACAGGAACCTCTCTCTCCAACTTCAGCCTCCTGGTAAAAGTGCCCTAATTGGCCTCAGAGCTGGTGCCCACACCTGGATGAGGAACCTGGGGCTGGCCCTGTGCAGCTGGGGACAGAGCAGTGGGAAGAAGGGACAGGCAGCAGGTGCCACCACGGCCCAGAAGGACCATGAGCAACCAAAAGTGCTGATCAGTGATGACAGAAGAGACTTTCCTTGGTGCTTTCAGAGCACAAGTTGGCCAGGAAGAGCCAGTGGCCCCAGGGCTGCTGCTGTGACCACACTTTCCATGTCCAGGCCCCTGCAGGTGTTGGACCTCCCCTGGGTAAGAGGCACTCACTTCATGTTTGTGAGTGCAGTGTTTGGGCTCCTGCAAACATCAGCACTCTGCAAACACCTGCAGTTCCGCTCAGCTTTGGCCAGTTTATGGTTAGACCATAAAACTGCAACCCTTCTTGCCCAGTCTTCTTAAACACAAGTGTAAATTACACTGGACAAGAGCTTGGAACAGTACAATTTTCCTCAGACAAAAATCTCCTTGTCAAGTGTTGGAAGAGGAGTCTGGCAGGAATCTACGACCTCCCCCACAAGATGTGGGGTGAGGCTGTTGTCCTGTCTTGGATAGGCCAAAGTGGAAATGCCAAATTTAGCATATTCTTATTCCTTGCCTGGTTCCAGTACCAGGTGGCCCTGACAATTTAGCTAAAATAATTTGAAAAATCCTGAAGGAAGTGCTTTTTCTGAGGAAATCATTGGGAGAAACCCCTGAAATATTATTATTGGAAAACCTGCTGAGAGTTTGATTCCAGCATCAGACTTGTGCTGGGCAGGGACTGCTGGTCCAAGCCGTGCTTTGAACAGGCCCTTGCAGCAGAGGTGGCTCATCTGTGGCCAGGTGAGTGCTGAGAATCTCCAAGGTCAGAGTCCAGGGCCTCTCAGGGCCTTGATCCAGTGTTCCAAGGTTTTTTCCCTGAGGTCCAGTGAGGATGTCTCCTGTTCCAGCTTGTGCAAGTTGCCTCTGTGGTCACCATGTAGCTGTGAGCAGAGTCTGTACCCATCACCTCTCCCAATGACATGAGGCAACTGCAGACTGTGGTCAGGGCCCCCTTTTCCTCACTCCCAAAACAGTGGGACATGAGAAAATCCTACAGAAGAGTGTCCATGGAGAGCACTTCAAAAAGTGGTGCTAGAATCACAGACTCTCAGATTGATTGATTTGGGTTGAGAGCGACCTTAAAGCTCATCCAGTTCCACCCCCTGTCTGGGGCAGGGACATCTTCCACTAGACCAGGTCACTTCAAGCCATGTTCAGCCTGGTCTTGGACACTTCAGGGATGTGGAAGCTGAACTGGAGAAGAAAAGGGGAACACAAAAGCACAAGCTCTAGGTTGTATGAAATCTGCTGGAACTGCTGTTTGGGTGACTCCTGCAGGAGAGGACAGTTTTAGTGCCCTCATAACTGCATCTGACACAACCACAACCACTGAGGGGGAAAACTTGAGCATGAAGCTCTTGCAGCCTCAGGGAGAATCGTGGCCATCAACAACCCCCTGAGCTCCCGAGCCAGGTGTGGCTGCAGGGATCCTGGGCAGAGGCTGCCGGGGCAGCAGCAGCAGGGTGAGCAGGGATGAGGGCAGGAGGGCTCTCAGAGGGCACATGTCAGAGCAGCAGCAGGGTGAGCAGGGATGAGGGCAGGAGGGCTCTCAGAGGGCACATGCCAGAGCAGCAGCAGTGTCAGGGAAAGCACCTGCCAGGCCACCGGGTTCAGAGGGTGTGAAGAGGTCATGCTCTATCTAGAGGGCAGGGACAAGTGGAATGTCACCAGGATCCCTCTTGGCACATGTCCTGTAGAACATCCTATTCAGTTGTAGGAAAGAGGTGACAGAGTGCTCTCCTGTCAGGGTTGTGGGTGACACAAGTCAGGGGGACCAGTGCTCCAGGGCAGGGCCAGAAGGACTTGGACAGGCTGGGAAATGGAGCTAGAAGGAGCTGGTAAAATTCAACAAGGACAAATGCCAGGTCCTACATCCAGCACTCCCTGAAAAAAAACCACACCACCCTCTCAGGAGATGGGGAGGACCCCCCAAACAGGCTGGGGATGAAGCCCCACGCTGAGAGCAGGGGCTGGAAATGCTGAGTGGACTCTGCCCACAGGAGGAATGGCTTTGGGGACACCAAGGAGCCGTTTGTCTGCCAGTCCCTATGGGGAGGTTATCCCAAAACTGGTGCCACACTCACTGCAGGGGCACATGGAGGGAGGAGGAGGGGCGGCAGCCAAAATCCAGACAAAACCCACCACTTTCTTGTCCCCATCCTCAAAGGAAGCATTTGTGCCCATGTGGAGACCAGAACCAGCTGAGATACAAGCAATGGTGATTTCTGCTGGAGAAAGAATTCTTGAGCAGGAAGGTGCATCCCTCAAAACAGCCAAGGAAACAGGAGTGGGAGAAGCTATTGGTGCTACAACAGTGCCCTTGGCTTTGGGAGATATGACACATGCTTGGAGAAGGTAAGTTAGGAGTCTGATTTTCAGAAGTGACAAGTATTTATAGGCTCTGGGCCCAATTCTGAAGGCTGCACCTCCAATTTGAGGTATTTGGTTTAAAAAAAAATCTCCCTTAACATTTCACAAGTTCACAGAGATTTGATTTACTGCTGGACACCACTGGCCAGGTTTGATATCCATCAGGAGACCAGAGGGGGACACAAACATGATATTTATTATCCTAAAGGCTGTTCTGAAGACATGGACTACCAGAACTGAAGTTTCTGGCATCCAGGGAGATTTCAGTATATTTTAATATTTGTGCCAACTATTGGTGGTCTCAGAAAAGTCCCTTTTCAAATATCAAAGTGGGAGGGGGTTTCTGCAAGTGCTGCCAGGATGTGCCTTCCCTAAAACCTTGGGAAAGTGACCAGGCTGTATTGGAATGCCATGGCACCAAGTTTCTGTGTGAAACAAGGAAATGCTCGTCACTGCCACAAGCAAAAGGTGTAATTTTGTAAACTCAAAGCAAATGAGTGAAAAAGTCCCATTACCGTGGCCCCTCTGCCCTGCCAGCTCAGCTGCCCTGCTGAGAGCTGCTCGAGAAAGGCAGAGCCCAGAGTCACTGTTCCATGTACACACAGGACACAGATCCGCAGCTACACACACACACACACGGGGCCACAGCCACAGCTGCTCTTTTTTTACACTTGCTGCTTATCTTTTTCAGCCCCAGACACTCTCTGACCTGCATTTCCCCTCACTGAGGCTGCCACTCCCTTGGTATCTATGCTGGATTTCCACACAGGGTGTTCATCCCCATCTGGGGCTGTAGCCTACACTTTCCCTACTTCCCAGAAGATGTTACTGTTCATCCTCTCATCTCTTGACATTCCAGATCCAGAGTTTATGCTTGGACCATCTCCTACTGCCCCACCATCGGGAGGAGAAGCTGCAAGGACACCATAGTGCTTCCCTGCTGCAGAAACATCCCAGAGCTCTCTCGACCTCCAGATTCACTCCCTGCAGCAGCCCTCCTTTCCTGGGGGTCCCACTTTACATTTCCCTGGCAATACATGGTGAACTCCAGCTGAACTCACTCCTTTTTCAGGAATAGCTCCAGGCTCTGAGCAGGCAGTGCTCACCCAGCCATCTCACTGAGCTGGAGCCATTTCACTGCTGAGCCCTTCAGACATGCTGGGCACTGCTTGGTGCCTTCTGTGTTCAGCCAGTGCCACTGCTAGGACTCTGTCCCTCCTGTCCAAGTCCTCTCCCGGCCTCTGGACCACGTCAGCTCCCCCAGAGAGCTGTGCCTTGGGCTGGGTGGGCACGGTTAGCACAGGTAGTGAGAGCACAGGGAGCGTGGGTGTTGTGCAGTCACCTCTGCTGCCAGCTTGGCCAAAGGCCAGCCCCCATCACTGCTCCTCTCTGCTGATAGTGGCGGGTGCAGGCATCTCACAGTCCTGCAACAGGTAAGATGGGGCTGTTGGAAGGACTTGGCACCCAGGAGCTGCAGCTCCCAGCTCCTCCAGCAGCCTCCCCCCGTGCCCAGGTGCTGAAGAGCTGCAAGGCTGGAGCAAGAGTCCGGCACTGCTCGGCACCTGGCACAGCCCGGGGCAAGGCTGGAGTCAGCATGGGCGCTGTGTCACAAGGGCTTGGTCCCGTGGGCTCAGATCCCACTGCTGCAGGCTGCTGGCTGCTGCTCCTCACTCCTGTCCCTGAGCAGGAGCCACCTCTGGAAGCCTCTCCCCAGGGCCCCCTCAGGGTTAAAAGCTTCTGCTGCGCTTACAGCACTGAGGACACACACACAGGCTTCTCCTCATGCAGGAAAGACAAACCAGCAGCACCCGGGCCATGGCTGCCACATGGAACATAGGACAGCACCTGGGGACAGATTACTGAGGACTAGGTGCCATCCAGCCTCTGCTCTTGGCTGTGGAGGTGAGGAGGGGTGAGAGGGCAGGGCTTCACCAGGACATGCACTGCTGGGGGGAACCTGGTGCTGGCCCCCAGGGCTCTGGGTGGTCTGGGCAGGCTGTGGCTGCTGCTCTGCCTCCAATAGAGGCATCCAGTCCTTTCCAAGAGAAATGAATCCTGTGCTGTTATCTGCTCCCTCAGTTCAGCTGTGCCCTTGCACTGGGCCATGGCTGTGCCCAAGGCTCAGGACCCCACCTCCCAGGGCTGAGTGCTCCAGGCTGCCTGCTCTGCTCATCTGAGTGAGGACAGATGTAGTGGCTTGGTGAGGAGAACCATATCCTCCTGCAGAGCAGCTTCCCTGTGTGGGTACAGAGCACAGATGTGCTCCTGCACCAGCAGAGCTGGGTCTCTGGCTGGCTCACATGGCACTGTCACAAAGGTCTCTCCCATCTCTGGAGGGAAGGACAGGAACCCGCCTGGCACTGGTGGCATCCGTGTTCCCTCTCTGCTCCCCATCCAGCCTTTCTAGCCTTGTCTTTTTTTGGTCTTTGCTCACTGCATTTGCCCACTGAAGCACCTTGGCCCCATCCATGGAGTCCATGGCAGGGGCAGGGTGGGCAGCAGCAGCCCTGGCTGAAGTTCTGAACCAGAAATGCTTCCTCAGGCCTCCTCCATCTCTTGGACATGGTGATCACAGCTCCATGTGATAGTGAGCAAACTCCTTGTGTCAGGGTGAAAATTGAAATAGGATGATGGAAAAAAGGTGGGGAGTTCCAGGCCAGGAGATCCCTGCTGGCTTAAATTTTCCTGTGGCTCAACATAGTCCATGTGATGAGTTGCTCTTTGTTGGAACCTGTACTTTTGTAAGTGGAACCCCTGCTTTGTGAGAGCTGGTTATTACAGAGCAGGAAACAGGATAAAGAAAAAAAAAATTAACTGGTGCAGGGTGATGCCATATCCCTGGCCCAGGGCTGGGGAAGAGCAAGCTCAGTGACAGCATCTAGAGAATGCTGTAACCTGAGCAGGGGCAGGGAAACATCTACTCAGAATAAATACATCCAGGAGGGGGAGAGACACATGCTTGGAATCATCATCAGGAGAGGGGCTGGGTAGGCAAAGAACTCCAAGAGGTGTGGGTGGATGCCCCCCGCTCTTGGGTTTTTCTGTGTGCTTCTTCTGCATCAGGTACCCGACCGGGATGGCAGCTCTTTAGACTCCAAAATCCCAGCGTCTGCGCAATCTGAACTCAGGAAACTTTCACCCACCAGGGAGATGGGATCAGAGCTGTACCATTAGGGACCCCCTTGCCTCACGGGGGGCTGTGCTCTAGTCCCTGGCTCACAGTCGGGGAGAGAGCCTCCTCAGGGCTCCCTTCTGCCCAAAGCCTGACCCAGCTTGCCCCATGGCAGGTACGAACCAGACACAGGTGACGGAGTTTGTGCTCCTGGGCTTTTCCCACGGCCGGCCCTTCCTCTTTGCTCTTTTCCTGGCCATTTACCTGGCCACGCTGCTGGGCAACTCTGCAATACTCTCCCTCGTCTCCCTGGATCCCCACCTCCACAGCCCCATGTACTTCTTCCTTGGTCACCTGTCCTGCCTGGACCTTTGCTACTCCTCAGTGACGGTGCCCAAGATCCTGGCGAACACTTTGCGCCCGCGGGCCACCATCTCCTACGGGGGGTGCCTGGTGCAGATGTTCCTGCTGATGTGGTGCGCGGGGGCCGAGTGCGCGCTGCTGGCCCTCATGGCCTACGACCGCTTCGCTGCTGTGTACCAGCCCCTGCGCTACTCCCAGGCCCTGTGCCGCAGCACCTGTGCCATCGCCGCCGCCGGCTGCTGGCTCTGGGGGCTGCTGGACTCGGCCGTGCACACGCTGCTGGCGGCCCGGCTCTCCTTCTGCGGGGCTGCCCGGCTCCAGCACATCTTCTGCGACGTGCCGCCGCTGCTGGGGGCCGCCTGCAGCGACACCCGCCCCAACCAGCTGGCCCTCCACATCTCCAGCATCTTCGTGGGACTCAGTCCCTTCCTGCTCATCATCATCTCCTACCTTTGCATCCTGGCCACCGTCCTTGGGATGCCGCTGGCCACCAGCCGGCGCAAGGCCTTCTCCACCTGCTCCGCACACCTGATCGTGGTCACCCTGTACTTCGTGGCAGCCAACCTGAACTACAACCGGCCCAGCTCGGGCTACTCCCCGGCAGCCAACACGCTGGTCTCTGTGCTGTACTGCATCATCATCCCCATGCTGAACCCCCTCGTCTACAGCCTCCGCAACCGGGAGGTGTGGGGGGCCCTGCGGAAGGCCATGCGGCTGGGTGCCACACCAGGCTCCCCAGGCAGCAACGCCTGAGCAGTGCCAGGGCTGCCACAGGCTGCCAACACTGCAATGTCCATCCGTGGGACATCTGTGACAGCACAGCGAGCCTGGGGCTCCCAGCCCAAGCACATGGCACACTGCCATTGCTCATTTCACCCTCAGCACATCATTGAGAGCAGAATGGCAAAATAAAGTCAGGAACAAGGCTACAAGTCCAGGATTCTGTCTTTATTTTCCAGATGCCATGTGCTGCAGCTGTGCTACTGCCAGGCAGCTCAGCAAAAGGCAAATTCATGTGGAGCCAGACGCGTGCTGGCTCTGAGCATAGCCACGAGCTCTGCCTCAGGGCTGCCCCAGGGCTTGAGTCAGGCTCTGTGCAGAACAAGGGCAGTGCCTTAGACTGCAAAACCTGGCCTGGGCAAGAGGGGCTGTCCCACCATCCACTGTCCCCATGCGCCTTGGCTTCAAGTCTGATATCTGCTGGGTTTCCCCAGGCTGCCAGGGAGGCTCTGCAGCACTCTGTACATAAGCACAGCGGCTTGCACAGGCCACCCAGGCCTTGGTGCTGCACTCAGACACTAGCACTGAGCTGAGAGCTGGTGGCACTGAACTCCTCACCAGAAATGCTTTGCTTTATGGCCAGAAAAATTTCCCTGTGCAGCTGTTGTGTGTGCTGTGGCTCTGGGTGATGGTGGCTGAGGACTGGCTGGGGGTCTGCAGCTGGGCCCAAGCTCAAATGATTCTGTGGCTGTGGGGGCAGCAGCCAAATCTGCAGGTGTGCACA